TGATCGCATAATAAACAGAAGAAATAATGCATGAATAGCTCCAGCTATGAGCACAAAAAAATCAAAGCAGACCGTGCCCGATAAAGGGCGATGAAGCCATCAATTAAATGAGGATTAACATAGCTCAGGAAGATACTCCGTCTGCAACCCTCATGAACAATACCCTAATGCCACTCAATTCTAATCCCATAGAAAATATAATAATATTGAGAGATTGAAATCCTAAACAACCAATAAGTCCTCATAATCATGTAGGCAACAGACATCAACGTCTAGAATCCAGAAGCCAACGACGACTAGTTAAAGGAAGAAAAGGGGAAGCATCATCAATCAACCATACAAAAGCAACCCAAATTCCACTTCAGAAATACTAAACAGCAGGGACAACCCATCCAACACCACCATAACAATAAGATGATGAAACCTGAGAGCCCCAAAGAAAACAAGCAGCTATGCCAAACATTCCAGCACACCCTCAACATGAACCATAACAACCAAATTGACATAATGCTTCAAAGGAAAGAAGAGCAACAATCGGGGTATAAATTAGGATCAACTAAAGTACTTGTTAAAAAAAAAAAAAAAAAAAACCTAAATTACTTGTATAGGGCAAGAAAATACCAAAACTATGAGCCACAAAATAATGATTTTTTAAATTTTTGGAAGACAAAAGTTTAGCGCCAAAAAACATACCAACCTTATCTTTAATACTAGTAATAATTTGATGGGAGTCCATCTTATAGCTATTGAAAATAGAATTATTTCTAGCAAGCTACAAAAACCATAAAATAAGAGAAGGAATAACATTTCTAATATGCCCTTTAGAGTTAATGAATCAATAATCAAGTAAATTGTAAATAGAGATATGCGCAATAAACTTTTTAACTTGAAAATGTCGTAAAAAAAGATCAAATTTTAATAGCAACCGGACCAGAGATAAAGATATGATGCATATTCTTTTAATGAAAACATCATTGGCACTTGGAACTAATAGTAAAGCCTCTTCTTCTCAAGTTGTAATCAGAAGGAATGTAATTATGCATGATTCTCTACACAAAGATCGAAATTGTTTTAGGAATACTCTTATGCCAAATTATGGAGTAAATTTTATCAACACCATGCTTCTCTTTGAAGTCATGAAGTCATGCCAAGCTTCTTTTAAGGAGAGCATCCCATTATAAAAAAGGTCACAAAGAAGTAAGTAATCAATATCAATTTTAATAGGAATACTCAAAATTCTAAAACAAATAGTGTCCGGAATAATATTAGCCAGTTTATTATAATTCCACATGTTATCAAAAATAATATCATGAACTTTAGAATCCGACATAGAAGAAGAAAAGATGAAAGAATCAATGGGCCGACCATGAAGCCACTGATCTTGCCAGAAGAAGAGGTTCGCTTTGCCTAAACCCCATTTAAAATGTGGTTCAACACTCCACTTGATCTTGTAAAACCTATTCCAAACCTTAGAATCACCCTTCTTATAAGTACATATAATATAATGTATACCAAAACAAATTTTAACATTCATCAACTTAGCCCAAAGAGTCAGGTTAGATAAAAAATTAAGCCACAATTTATAGGAGAAAGCATGGGCTAAATCCCACATGGTCTTACAACCCAAAGCCCATTCTTTCAACACACCACAACAATTGTGTCAAGAGGACCAAATAACATTACAATGCAAGTTGGAACCACGCAAAAAGAAATTATTAATAAGTTTCTCAATCTTGTTACACACATCACGGGTAGGTTGCAAAGTTTAAAAAATATAGACAGGTAATGAACACAAAAAACTTTTAATAAGAGTAAGTTTACCATCAAAGCTAGGGCAGCTAGAATACTACAAAAAAAGCTTATTGTGCGCATTAGAAATAAGATCGTCAAAAAGAAAATTAATTTTCCTACCCTTATACAGGGGGACCCCCAGGTACTTAATGGGCAAAGAGCCTTTGGTAAAACCAATGCAATTCCTAATAGCAATCACCCTATCATGAGAAACCTTCTTGGAGACAATGAAACAGCTCTTATTTTTATTAATAAAGAGCCCACTAAAAGATTCAAATTTGTTTAAGAAACTCATTAGCATTTTAACCATGTAATTAATAGAAGCATTAAAAAATGATAACATCATTAGCAAAATATAAATGAGAATTAGGAAAACTCCCCAAAGTTCTATAATATTTGCTCGGATAATTCTAAAAAATATTGGAAATACCTCTAGAAAAAAAATCCATGACAATAATAAAAAGAGCAGGAGATATCAGATCACCTTGCCTCAACCCATGAGAAGACTTGAAGAAGCCATTGCTTTTGCCATTAATAATAACAGAGAAAAAATAATTTTCAATAGAAAGTTTAATAAGGTTAACAAAACCAATGTGAAAACTAAATAAACTCAAAAAATGATAAAGAAAGTCTCAACTAATGTTACATATGCTTTGACAATGTCAAGTTTGAAAGTAATGTTACCCCCAGGCACCCTAACATCCAAGTCATGCACAATCTCTTGAGCCAATAAAATGTTATCCGAAATGGATATACCTTGTATGAAAACAGTCTGATTAGGAGCAATAATTTTAGGAAGTAAAAGAGAAAGTTTGTTGAAAAGAAACTTGGATATCAACTACTAAAAAAGGTACAAAGACTAATATGTCTAAAATCATTCCAATTACAAGCACCATTGATTTTAGGTATAAGCACAATATAGGTGGAAGAGAAAACTTTCAGAATAGCATTACCCACAAAGAAATTAGAGATAGCATTAAAAACATCAATGTGAATAATATCCCAGGTTTTTTTTTTTAAATTAGTGGTAAAGCCATCCAGACCAGCCACAACGTCAATATTCAAGTCAAAAATCGTTTTCCTAACTTCCTCTAAGTAGGAGATGCAGTGACTGCCTCATTGTCATCCCGATTAATGAGATGGAGAATAATGATGAGAGTGTCAAAAGGAGTGGTATTAAAAGTTTTATTAAACAAACCCTTAAAGAAATCCACACCCGATAAAGCAATTTCCTCAGCAAAATTAATTTCATGGATTGAATTTCTCGTCCTATTCCTCTTAACAAGAGCATGAAAATACTTGGTGTTATTATCACCCTCAGTATTAATGTGCTTCGAGGCAGTTTTCTATTTCCAATAAGTTTCTTCTTGATCCTGGAGATTAAGAGCATTCTATTTTCAATAATTTATCATTCTTTATGATTCATAGCTCTTTATTCTTAAAAAAATAAAATAAAATGCGGACTTTTTTAATTTATTTATCCACATCATTGACTCTGATAATGATGCCTTTGGATAGGATAGAACGTGTCATTAAAAGACAAAGAAATAGTAAGCTTGTGGACATTTGGATGAAGAAAAGGACTTGAAATTTTGTCTTAATGATAAGTACATTTACAATAGATTATTTAAATCAAGAGTGTTATTATTATTATTAATTTTAAATATATTCTATTTGATTTAATTTTAATTTATTTAAATAATTAAAATTATTTAGTTATATCATTTTTTTCTTATTGTTTATTATATTTTGTTTGTAATCTAATCTATAAATGTCAATATAAATCTAAAAATCATCAACTTAGAGCATAAATATTATTTATCAAAATTTTATTGAAACTTTTCAATGAACAAAAACATTGAGCAATAAAAGTTGGATGAACTTAGGTGGTCGGGTGACTTGATCGAATGATGATATATATTTGATCAACGAATAATGATTGTTTTTTGCAGTGATAATTTACGTTGATCATCATACAGAGAATTAATTTATATTTATAGTTCTTGTAAGTGATATTTTAATAATTTTAGCTAAAATTTTAAAACACTCCATCAGATTATCTATGTCGATTATCTCGGTCATAGACTGTCTTTCCATCCTTTATATACCTTAATAAACTTATTAAGTTATCAAAAATTAATTATAATAACATAAAATTTGGAGATCATTTCATTTCTCAATTAATATTGATATGTCATCAAAAAATTATTTTGATTGGACATAAATCTTGAGGCAAAAATCAAGTTAAAAACTTCAAAAATTAAATCTAGGATCATCTGAACTTCGATTTCAGCAAACTTGCAGTCAAACTGAGCGTCCCGGAAATACGAAACCAACGACACCAAATTCAACTCAATCCGAGCCCAAATGAGTCAGAATCGAGGAATAGAAGCACATTTGGAAGGTTCAATCCATAATTTGGATTATCAAACCGTTTTCAAATATGACATGCTTATATTTAAATCGAGTGGCTCGACGAGACGAATCCAACGAGCCCAAGTTCGCTAAATTCTGATATCATTAAGACCTTCAAATGTTTGACAAACGGTCCACGATCAAGGAATTCAATATCGGCCGTCCATCCAAACCACATTTGCCCTTGATCCTCCTATTTACGGGTCATGCCATCCTAAAAAAGACTATAAATTGCCCCTCATTTCTCTTGAGAGAGGGAGGACCCAAGGAAGAAAGAACAAAGAAGAGAAGCGAAGAATATGAGGGAACAAATTCCTCCTCGACCACCGCCAGAGTTCCGCCCGACTTCCAAGTGACGCCGGAATTCCGCCCGACTTTCAAGCGACGCCGGAATTCCGCCCGACTTCCAAGTGACGCCGGAGTTTCACCCGAACTTCAAGACGCAACAAATATTGTGGAACTTTCATCTATGATTTAAATACTTATTTTGGATTCTTTTTAATTACACGTTCAATTCATCTATAAGTTTGCTGAAATTAGAGTTTAAATAGTTTTGAATTTAATTTGGGATGTTTTTAACTAACAATAAAATACATAACAAAAATATAAGATGATGTTAGGTAAGAATAAGTCCAACCCTTTCAATGATATCAATTTAAAAAAAAAAAGAGTATGATGTTGAGTTGTTGACAAAGAGATAAGTTAATGGCGAGAAATTCAATGTTTCAATTTATAAAAAAAAGAGCAGCACAGAGGAAAGAATAGAGAAGTAGAAGGTGAAGAGATCGGCGATAATGGCTACAGAGGGATTTGTGGTGCCAGTAATAAACCTGGCCAAGTTTGAAGAAGAGAAGGAGAAGCTTATATCAGCAGTTATAACATATGGCTCTTTCCGAGTGATCAACCATGGAGTTCCTCAAAAGCTTATGTCGGATATGAAGGCTTCTACAGAATATCTCTTCGAGCTCCCCTCTGAGGTGAAGCAATGCAACACTGATGTTATTATCAAAAGCGGCCATGTTGTCGCTCCGTTCTATGAGGGTTTGGGCATCTATGATGCAAGCTCGCCGACCGACGTCTACAACTTTTGCTCCCTCTTGGATGTCTCATCCCATGATAGGTGGGCTTCTCTCTTTTTCTTTTCTTTTCTCTAGGTCTACTGTTAGGCAAATTACTAGGTCCGGTTACCAGACATAAATTTGAGTCCGGATTCTGTGCGCTTTTAATGTGCTTCTGATGTATTTTTCAAAAGGGCAGCTAATATACAATTTTAATTGCATATTAGCTGCTTTTTTGTTGAGTATTTGCAAAAATAAAGCAAAAGCGTAGTAAAAGCGCAACAAATATTTCACTCATTGAGTATTTGCTGCTCTTTTACTGCGCTTTTTAAATACTTAGTAAAAGGGCAGCAAAAGCGCAGTAAAATGACAACTAATATGCAATGAAGCATACACTAACTACTTTGAACTTAACGAGTTTTTTTATTGTAATATGCCTCTTTTGAACAAACATACAGGGAAATTCTCAGTACATATGCTTCTAAAGTTCATGATCTGATCGTTGATTTGGCATCCAAAATAGTTGAATGTTTGGGAATCAAAAGCTATTCATTTCAGGAATGGCATTCTCACTTAAGGATGAACAGATACAATTTCACAAAAGAAACAATCATTGGATCTATTGGTGGGGCAGTCCATACAGACAATAGTTTCATTACTATCCTTCTTGAAGATGAGTATGTTGATGGACTTGAGATTATGGACCTCACTGGAAACTTTGTTCCAGTTGATCCTGTACCAGGAACATTTCTTTGCACCATGGGAGATATCGCAAAGGTAATCATGATATGCGATTTTTAAGAAAATTTTGCTCGAAATAGTTAGAAGCGACTTTATATCATGATATATTAAAGCTTCGCTTGGGATGAATATTTTATTGGTTTCTAGGTCAGCTTTCTAGTACAAAAATTTTTGCCTAAAAAGCTGCATTAGAAAGCATTAAGAAAGCCTCCTCCAAACGAAGCCTAAGTTGATTTTTTAATATTAGAAATATACTAACATAAAACCATAATACTCATAGTTGCTTTTTTAGTTTCTTAGAATATATACTTGGTACCATTTCTCACAATCAAAGTGATGCTACTTTTGATTGAGGCTTAATTTGGGACGGCTTTCTTACTACTTCTTAAATCAAATTTTTAGTATAAAAATTAAAAATTTGTACTAAAAATCCACTTTAACAAACACTAAAAAAGCCATTCCAAACAAAACCCGAATTTGCATCAATTGCTTACTTCACAAGAATTTTAAAGGTATTGTTTTCATTGGGCAGTTATGTTAAAAAGTAAATTTATTTGAAAAGTAAATTTTTCTAAAAGTCATATATTAGTTAATAAATGTGAGATGTGTGTGTAGTAGATTTAGTAGATGAGAGTAAAAGCTTAAGATTACTTGGTAGGTGAATAATGTGTGGGTAAGTTCTTAGTATTTATAAATAGCACCTCTTCTTAAGGTTTAAACATTAAGTGAGAAACAAAAACTTCTAAGAGAAAAGAAAGAGAAAGAGAAAGAGAGAAATATCTTCTAAAGAGAGTTTGTGTCAGTTTGCAAGTTATATTTTGTAGGGAATGATGATTTTGAGTTTTTTAAGTAATCTTAACCTTTTACTCTAATCTAAGGTGTATATGTCAAAAATAGAATATTTCTCTTGAATATTCTATCACAACCCAACCCAATATAACCCGATTTGATATAACCTGTAATATTAATAGGTTGGGGCGACTAGCCCCAAGATTTGTTTTGGTAGGAAATTCTTTTTGCCATCTAATTAACATGTAGAGCTTCTATATATATATATATATATATATATATATATATATATATATTGAAAGTCTAGTGAAAACATCATATATGAAATTATCCATCATTTCCAAATTATATACATATTTCATCATCAAAATAATTCATATACAAAGATCATGAAATTTCTAATGTTCAATTTCTAATATCTTTGAACAAAATACATTCATCATGATCACAAAAATAAATAAATAATAGAAATAAAAGAAATCACCAAACTTATTAGTTATCTCACTCCTTTTACTCCTCTCCCTTCTCTGAGACATAGAAATTAGATATAATAAACAAAGAGCCTTGTAGGTTTCCAAAACCTAAAACTGCATCAATGCAAGACATTTAAATAATATACATGCTAATCAATCATTTAAATGTTTAAGTCTATGTATATCCATGTTAAACAAGTTGTAGGCATTTCAATTATGTTTATTTGAAAATCTATAAAAAAATAATTTTTGTGGAAATAGAACTATTAATAGCATATTCTTATTATAATCATACATGCTTTGTTATGCTTATTACATTATGAATGTGAGCTTATCTGCATCCCATTGTATGAAATGCTGCTATGCATGTAAATGATACTACTATTCATATTATATGATATTATGCATGCCTAGTGAATAAACATGTCATATTCTATAATTTAATTATTATGTGTATTATGAAATAAAGTATCATATCCATTTATTATTAACTATGCTATCATATCATGCAACTAACATTAAAAAAACTACACATTCTCATATTCCTATACTACCCTATGCAAGTGAGGACATCTAACCAATTTTTGTGGTGTTTTCCTCATTTAAGTCATATTATGCTAGGGTATTATATTATGTCATATCATATCATAATATCAGGTGGTATTGTACATGAGAGTCATCACCCCTAGCCTGTCGATACTCATTTCCATATCCTTTCATATTCCCTTATCTCTCCAGGTATTATGGATGGGTTGACACCACTAACCCAATATTAATGAAAGCTTGTCGGTTTCCACCCCTAGTCAAGGATATTTCTACATCAATCTAAATAATATCAAAATATCCTATCTTGCTTACATATATTTCACCACATGCATTTCATTTTAAACATATCAACTCTAAACATGACACATTGCATGTCATGTATGCAATATTGATATTTAATTACAATCCACATGCATCTCACTAATACGGTGTTACGGTAGGGTTCATCAAATCATATTATGCATAGAATTTAACTGGTCGTACAATTCATGTGCAATATTCTTATGAATGTTAAGAAGCTTTTTATCCATTTTCATAATTTTTATTAAAGTATGTATACTTATTGCAAGGCATGAAATGCAATATTTCCCAAATCACACAGTGAAAATATAAAATGATTATATAAAAACGTACATAATAAATATATCCATAACATATTAAAAATTACACAGTGAATGTTAGATTGTGGCATAACATTTTTATCAAATTAAGAAGAAAGATATAACATATAGGAATAAATAGTTGAAACAAAGATAGGATTTAGGTCCTATACCGATCATAATAATTTTTGTAATTGGAGCAATGAAAAATACCTGCCCAACCTTGCTTTGTCTCTCTACTCTCGTCCTCTCTCCCCTTTCTTCTCTCCTCTTCTCAACCAAGTAACAAAGATTGGGGAGGGATGACTGGGTGAGGGTTTTAAGAAAGAATGGATTTAGATATTTTATGTAAAAAATATTTTAATCATGCTAGTGTCGCAACACTCAAGACATCAATGCCACAATGCTTACTCAAGCTACTTTATAAAAAAGCATATAGTTTTTAAGTGACATTGCACTCACATAATCAAAACTGCATATACAAAGAGGCCTCTGCTGTTGCTCCATAAGCACAACACTGTGGTGCTCCAACATAACATAATTTTTTGTGCATGTAAAAATTATATATATATAGACACTCTCTCTCTCTCTCACACACACACACACACATACATACGCACATACGCACTAAAAACCTATTCAAATAGATGATGTAGAAGTATATATGATGGTCTTGTGTTCATTACATATTTAATATTATGTTACAATCTATTTAAAGGCTCTATTTAGTAAATCATCATGGGAATGGTTTCTAAAATGTAAACACCTCAAATTTGCTAACCCTGAACTTTTTTTTTTTTGAAGGAGGGGGTTCTAGTTTGCACTAATTAGAAATAATATCATAAGAAATCGTCAAATTAGTCAACATTAAGAGCAATAAACCCACTTGTAATTAATATGCACTAATTTTTTTAGAATTATTAGACTATTGACTTTCAGTAGGAGTAATATTTCCTATCATCTATTGATTATTTTTTATTGGTATGTTTCCTTGACATTAAGGCTATGAGTTCTAATTGAGAAGGAAATTTCATATTCACCAAATTCCAAAGATTTTGAAAGGATATTGTAATTCATAATCCCCTATTGATGTTAGGATCACCACAACAGAATGAAGTAGAAGAGTGGAATAATTGAACCATTTTTAAAATTTCTTAAACCATGCTCAAGAGCAAGAGTGCCTACAAATTTTTGGGCTAAAGCATTAGCTTTTGTAATCTACTTAAAAAATTTCTCCCCTTTTGTTCATGGAATGACTTAGTAGGAAGAATGAAGGGCAAGGAAAGCAAGAATTTCTCATCTTAAAGTTTATAGAAGTGTTTTGCATGCTCAAATTTTAGATGAGAAGAGAACAATGCTTGATGACAAATGTGAAAACATATATTTAACTATGATTCAAGCTTCAAAGGTTATAAGCTCCTGAATCCAATTAGTAGAAAAAGTCTCTTTAGTTGTGATGTTACCATTTTTTAAGAAGAAGATGTTAGCAACAACCCAGGATAGATTAGATTGCAAGAGAAGAGTTATGAAAATCCACTACTCCACTTATCCCACCAATCATGTATGAAGGATCAACATTAAAATGAATTCAACTGGGAGTTCAAATAAAAATATATTGCATTTTAAAATCTTGCAACATAGAGGTAATCGAGAATCAAGATGATAATACTTTTTTTTTTTTTATCTCTTTAGAGATCATGAACCTTTAATATATTTTCTTCCACTGCTTTGACTTGAAACCATTAAGCTAATCATATTTTGATAGCCCAACTTGAATGAAAAATCCATTAAATGCATGTGAATTCTATTTTCTTGAATGAAATTCTTGAAGAAGAAGTTTATGAATGGACAACAAGAGATAGTCTTGAAATTGAAGAATGCCTTATATAGTCTAAAATAAGCTCCAAGAGCTTAGAATACTTTAATCAACAAGTTCCTAAATATTGAAATGATCATGCACTTTATATTAACAATCAAAATAGAGACATTTTGATAGTGTGTTTATCAATGTTGATGGCTTGCATATCATGGGTAATCCTTGCATAATAAAGGCGCTAAATAAAGAAATGACCAAGGAATTCAAGATTACATACATTTAGCACCTTATTACTTGGATATTAGAGAGAAGCAATAAGATATATATATAATCATACTTAGAAAATGAGAAATCTCTTAAATTATGATTTAGATTATCTCGTTCATGTATTTAAATGCATCTTTATCAATTTAAAGAACTTTTTAATGCTTATTTTTGCAATTGTATGTAAAGTTTATATTTCATAAAAAGATGTTTTCATTCTTAATTATTTGATTTGTTAAATTATAAAAATTACTTAGGTTTTACCAAAGTTAAAGTTCATGATGATTTTGTTTTTGTGAGTGCATAGAATGCTTTCTTGTTTACAAAAAATCAAATGAATCCTTAGAATATTACTCTTTCTTATTTTATATTTTCTTGTAAATTCTAATCTTGTTAAAGTCTTATAAATTTTGTTGCACATGTTGAAGATTTGGAGCAATGGAATATTTCATAATGTGAGACATAGAATTATTTGCAAGAAAGCAATGCCACGAACTACGGTCGCCTTATTTATGCTTTCACCAAAGGATAATAAGATTGAGCCTCAAGCCGAATTTGTTGATTTTGAGCACCCGAAGCTCTTCCAAAGTTTTGATTACAATGAGTATAGAATGCTCAAGTTATCAAATTTATCACTAACTGAGAAAGAACATATCGATGTAAATGAAGCTGCAATAATGGCTTTATTCACTACACAATAAAAGAATTAACAATCTTTAGTGGGTTGAAATGTTCTATGTTAAAACCTAGCTTGCTCTCTGATTATTTCATTATCCCTCTTCTTCAAACACTAAAGCTTCACATTTATGAATTCTTTAATGTTAGGTGAATTGTTTGTCTTCTATTCTATAGTGAAAAAAAAAAGTTTGTTTTGTAGTCTTGCTAATTCTTACACTATTTTTTGTCATAATTAATATAGATATTATTTTTTTAGTTTTCATTAAATCTTGCTAATTCTAGTACTTTTTTATGCACTAATTATACTGATAAATGTCTAATAGTTTAATTGTATTTATGTTATGGCCTACAAACATTTGAAAATGTTTCCAGAGATTTCATACATCCCTTATGACTCCCACTTTTTTTAATCATGATTATACTTTTAAATGTTTAATAGTCAGAGATCTACATACATGATAATTAAAATTATTACATGTAAGTATTTAATACTAAAATTTAACTATTTACATGTATTAACACTCCTTTTAACAGACTCCATGAAACATTCAATGAGAAGATATTTGGACATGTATCTTGTCGAATGATGAGGAGACAAGGAAGTTAGGAATTGCAATGAGATTGGTGATGATGATGGTCTGTAAGGGCTATGAGATCTCACTAGTCACCACTGGAAAGACAACAATTTGTGGCAGACTTTACGACAGAAAATTTTTTCTCTGAGATAGAGGTGGATTTGCGAGAGAAACTTTTGTCGTTTATTTTGTGGCGGATTTGCGTTGTCTAATCCACCACAAATTTCCTAAGGATTAGCTACCACAAATCCATCACAAATAATTCATCCTCATAGTTTCTTTCATTTGCTTGTGTTCTATTTTGTACTCTCGAGCTTCGACAACCCCTCTTCCATCATTTCCTTTGATGATGTTCCTTCAATTCCCTCGACCGTCATCAAAATTGTTCATCTTAGGCTCCTTAGTCGCTGTTCGACTTCTCTCTTTTGAGTCAACTTGATGATGTTTCCTTACTGTTGGATAGAAGTTAAATAAAAAGAAACGATGGGAGCTCTCTCGTTGTGAAGGGAGCTTTCTCCCTTTCGTGCACTTCTTCAGCCAAATCCCATAAATCAACCCTAATTACTGCATCTAAACAGTCCCTTCTTGTCGCATCCGATCAGCTTTGAAAGTAATCTTCCTTCCATTTCATTTCAAGTATGTTGTTCATATTTTAGGGTTAATTAGAAGATGCATGGAGATTGTTCATAGTTTAGGGCTTTTGTGTGATAGAAAGTTTCACTCAAAATTTAGGAAAAATTATAAAAGATGGTAGTGAGAACTGCAATGCTTTATGGTGCATAATGTTGACCTTTAAAAGAGAAGCATAATGTTAAGTTAAGTATTGCAGAGATGAGGATGCTTAAGAGGATGAGTGGCTTTACTCTTAGAGTCTACTGTTCACACTACAGGAAAAATTCCTATTACCGGCGGTTCTAACCGGCGGTAAACTGCCGGCTTTTAATGGATGGAGATATCTTCAGTAGAATTCAACTTGGATGATTGAAGTGGAAGGATGTATAAGGCTTGTTTTGTGATAGAAAAGTCTCTCTCAAACTTAAGAGAAAATTTTATAAGATGGAAGTGAAAGCTGCAAGCAATGTTTTATGGTGCAGAATGTTGGTCATTAATTAAAAGAGAAATATAATATTAAGTTTAGTGCTACAGAGATGAGGATGCTTAGGTGGATGAGTGGCTTTACTCTTAGATTCAATTGTTCATGGTGATGGTGTAATAGATGGAGATATTATTAGCAGAATTCATGTTGGATGGCTAAAGTGGAGGAATGCATCCGGCTTGTTGTGTGATAGAAAAGTCTCTGTCAAATGATTAGTTCACTTGAATGCATCATGCTTAATTTTAATTAAAACCCACTCATGGTCCCATGCATTCATAACATATAAAAATTACAAGTCCTTAAGTGAGATGAATAACTCGCTAGCTATTGCACCAAAGAGCAACATTCAAAGAAAAAATAAACTCCTAAGGGCCATAAATCACGCACACACGCACGCGCTCGCGTGCGCACAGACACACTTTGATGAACATGATTACTTGTGTTGGCTTTCATTAAAATTAATGACTCTAGTAGATAAATTAAGAGATAAAAAGTTCTTCCACATTTCGATATTAGGCTTCACATACATGACTATGAAAAAAAATTAAAGAGCCATGCATCTTAATTAAAAGTTTGACTTGAAGAGGTTCTCTACCAAGTTCATAATTAGTTGTTGGCTTGGTATATATTAAGAGATTAGAAGTCAAATAGCTTTCCAAGCAAAAGAAGTCATTTTCTAGAGTAATCATAGATATCAACATGATATGGTGTACTCTTTTGGAAGTCATCTATTTGAGATGAGTTCTAAGGGTATAGTCGCCTGCTTAAGACAAGTTTTTTCATAGACTAGAAAGTTCTTTTTGAGGTAATACCAAGTAGTCCATGTTGTGTTGGCTTGATTAGAGTTGACATTGTCGAACCTGGCCGACATAGATTGAACAAGGTTTCTAGATATTTAGTTGTACAAATTCTTTTGTTAAAATCTATTGCCTTATTACTCTTGATATTTATTAGAGCTAGATAAGAATCCAAATGAGTTAGTGAATAAAATTTCATGCTATTTTTAATAGTATTAGATAGAGGATTAGGAGAAGCTACCATTGAGACTATATGTTGGACTTATGGAAATAAAAAATGACCAATGATAAGATTTTCTTATTGGTCATGGATGGAAGTTATTATAAATGATATTTTTCTAAGCAACACTTCATTTGGTTAGGCTTTTTTACATTCCAATGAGATACCATATTATTTTGTAATTAAGGATTGTTCTTGTGTGATTTTAATAAGGGATTCTGTATAAATTTTAAATAATTTTTATTTTTTATTTATACTTTAACTAAATATCAATATATATATACTTGTAGACATATTATTACTCTTTTATTTTTATTGGAATCGCATAATTTTATATTATGTTGTGAAATATGAAAAAAAACGTAAAAAATTCAAGAAATTAAATCTCTTCCAATGATGATTTCCAAAGTATGAAATAACTGCGGACTCAGTACGGGAGAATCATCCAGATTTTATAAGAGTATAGGACTCCGCTTGTAATAATTTCTTCTTCCTTACTTCCAACTTCGCCAAATCAATTATTGACAACGAGATTCCCATTACTGAGATTATCACTAATCTCTTCACATTTTGCCTTTCCATGTTTTCTTAGCTTTGCTGATGCCTTAAATTTAATATTTTAAATTAAAGATAAAATTATTTATCTAAATTATCATTTTTATGATTTATCACTCATTATTTTTAAGAAAATAAAATAAAATGCCGAGTTTTTTTTAATTTATTTATGCATATCATAGACTTTGATAATGATGCCATTGGAAACTGGTAAAAAATTTTGTACTAAAACTCCGTTTTAGTACAAATTAAAAAATTTTGTACTAAAACTCCGTTTTAGTACAAATTAAAAAATTTTGTACTAAAACTCCGTTTTAGAAAGCAATAAAAAAGCCGTCCAAAAAGAAGCCTTAGGCTTCGTTTGGGACGGCTTTTTTATTGCTTTCTAAAACGGAGTTTTAACACAAAAATAAAAAATTTTGTACTAAAACTCCGTTTTAGAAAGCAGTAAAAAAGCCGTCCCAAACGAAGCCGTAATCTCTTCCGACAATGATTTCCAAAGCAAGAAATACATAAAGAAAAGCCGGACATGTTTTGACTTTTGACCGCTTTGTCAAAAAAAAAAAAAACTTCAAAGCCTTAATTTAAAACAACAAGCTCCCAACATCTTTTAGAGCAGCAACCGAAGGAACAATGCAAGGCAGAAGTTGTAGAGATCAATTCCAACTAATGACTGTGGAGAGAATAATAGTGCCAGTGATCGACTTGGCAAAGTTTGAAGAAGAGAAGGAGAAGCTCATGGTGGCAGTGGAAGAGCTAGGCTGTTTCCGAGTGATCAACCATGGGATTTCTGAGAAAATTATGGCTGATATCAAGGCTTTAGTGGAACATCTATTGAAGCTTCCTACAGATGTAAAGCAACGTAACACCGATGTCATTTCCAAAAGTGGCTACATAGAGCCCAATTGTTTGGGACCATTGTACGAGAGTTTGGGCATCTACGATGCTAGCTCCTCCATTGACATTCATACCTTTTGCTCTCTCTTGGACTTCTCGTCCCACGATAGGTGAGCTCTCCTGTAAAGAAAATTACTAGGTGCGGACAATGGAGGTAGAGATGCGTCCGGATTACTGGATGCACTGCGTAAGCTCTGTTTATACTCTGCGTACACTCTGCGTATTTGTAAATACAAAGCAAATAAGCAACAAATCCTCACAACTAAATATTTGATGCTTATTTACTGGGTATCTACAACTACGCAGTATATACGCAGAGTGTACACATTGAGTACACAATACATCTAGTAATTCGGACGCATCTCTATGTCTAACAATTTCTCCTCATGCAAATAACTTTGGAAGAGGAGGCTTGCAAATCTATTTTATTATTACATAATAGCTATCAAATTTACAGAGAAATCTTGAGTACATTTGCTTTGAAACTTCATGATCTCATCGTGGATTTGGCATTCAAAGTAGCCCAAGGTTTAGGAATCAAGGACTGTTCGTTTCAAGAATGGTCTTGCAACTTAAGGATGAACAAATACAATTTCACAAAAGAAACTGTTATTGGCACTTGTGGTGTGATAGCTCATTCAGATAGTAGCTTCATCACTATCCTTTTTGAAGATGAGTCAAATGAAGGATTTGAGATTATGGGCTCCACGGGAAATTTTCTAGCCGTTGATCCTGTTCCAGGAACATTTTTTGTTAATATTGGCGATATGGGAAAGGTAATCAAGATATGTTCTTCATAACAAAAATTTTGTTGTTTCTACCCAACTTCTTATTGTGACATATGATATTAAAGAGATTAATAAATGAATTATGTTCAATCTAGAAGTAAGGCATATATTTATACATGTAAAATTTTTATAATTAAAGTTGAGGTTATACAAAGTTTAAAATACATAATGACCTTTTTTTATAACTACTTTCAATCTAATTATAAAATGCTACAATTTTTACTATTTTCTTAAAGCCTCATAAATTTTTTCTTGATTGTCTGTTGGAGGTATGGAGTAACGGAAGACTTCATAATGTGCAACATAGGGTGTTATGCAAGAAACCAAAGTCACGAATCACTATTGTCCTATTTATGCTTGCACCAAAGGACAACAAGATTGAGCCTCAAGCTGAATTAATTGATTCCGAGCACCCAAAGCTCTTTGAAAGTTTCAACTACATGGAGTATAGAAAGAATCGGGGCTCGACTACATCAATAGCCGGTGAAGTCCTCCTCAAATGGGCTATAGATGAAGCTACAAAAATGGCTTAATATATAATTGAGTTATATGAAGGTTCAATGGTTTCAAATTAGAACATTGTTGTGAGGTGAGCATTGTTACTTAACATCACCATATATTCCACCTATGTTTCAAGATCATAAAAATTTGATAATTTTCATTATGTTGAGATGACATTATAATCGATCACGTTAATATTAAGTTTCCATTCTCATAAATGGAATGTTTGAGTGGTTTAATTATCAAATAAATTATGTTTGTAGATTGAAAAATAAAGAAGTAAGAAAGTCATTCCAAATGAAGCCTAAATCACGTTTGCTTCTATATTTTTACTTTTATTGGCAAATTCTCAAAGTTTCTAAAGATTTTCAGATTTATTAGAATAATTATTTTAATAAAATAATATTTTCATTTATACTTAATATTCATTAAAATTAATATCTATCAATTTCTCTGTCCATTTAAAAAAAAAAAAAAAAAAAAAAACTAATAGATATAGAACCTCTTTATTTGAACACCCCAAACTTACTCTTTCTGTCATTTAATGGCAAGCTTTATCCTTTAGACTTTGTAAGAGGATTTTATATTATAATGTGAAGTATGAAAGAGTCCAAATAACAAAAATAACTCATCATTTGATAAAGATTCCATAAAATTTACATTTTTTTAATGATATTATTCTCAAATGCTTTGATGTAAACAAATATTTAAGAAAATAAGCTCGTCATTTGTTAATCATAAGATCGTCAATAATTTCCTAAAATGTAATGTTTTAGTTTACAAACTAAAACTTGGGGCATCTTTGATAGTAGAAGCAAGAGAATAATAGAGAAGCTGTATCACTACGGGAAAACCCGTCATTACCGGCGGAGAATATCCGCCGCTAATACAATATTTCCGTCGGAATTATAGGTTTCCGGCGCACGTTTCGGCGGAATTATCTGCGCCGGTTTGGAGCGCGTCGGTAAAAGTCTTCCGGCGCATACGTTTGCGCCGGAACACTTTCCGGCGCCCTTTCCGACGCATTACCGGCGCAAAAAATGATGGCAGTCGTCGACATTTCGGCCGCTAACTCCAGCGACATATGCGCCGGTAATTTCGGTCGTATGATTGCGCCGGCAATTACCGGCGGAGAAAACGTCGTTGATACGCCGTAAATAACCTGCGGGATGTTTACGGCGCAAAATATGCGCCAAGAATAGCCGGCGGATATGATGCCGGAAAGTTCGACGGTAATTTTCGGCTTACGCAAAACGTCGGTTAGATCGATACGGTTTGTTGTATCGTCGTTTCCGGCGACGTACCGGCGCAAAATCCGTCGGAAACCTGTAGCATTCACAAAAAAAAAATGCCTTCCCAGCCAACAATCAGATTTCCACACCTGCAAACCCATACAAATATCTATCCACAACAGTTTATAACATTTCCAGAATAGTTTATAGCAATTCAAAGATGCACAAAAACATAAATACTCATTAAAAGAAACTGTTCAATAATAACAACCAACTAAAAACATCAGATATTGTTCAATATTACAGATTCAAAGAAAATAAACAAGTTCATAAAATAAACTAAACTACTATGAATCTGTGGACTCCTCCTCAGCTGGAGCTACCTCTTTTCCACTCATATGCTCCCTCATTTTGCGCATTTCGTCAAACAACTGATTGTGTTGCTCCTGCTTCTGCATTTGAACCTGCGCTTGCAACTGAGCTTGCCAATCAACTTGTGATTTCCTTACTTGTTCTAGCTCAGCTTGTAGGGCACTTATTTGTTGAGCTTGCAAGGATTCATGAGAACTGGATGCGAAGCTGGATGTAGTAGAGGAGGTCATCGCCTCGTATGCCTGAGCTTGCGCACCTAAACCATAAACTCTCACATGCTGCATTCCTCCAACGGCCTGCGACCAGATGCGATACTCAGAAAACTCCACAGAGCCGCCAGAAGAGCCCTCACCTGCTGCGACATGAATCTCTCGAAGCCGTGTATATTCCTCCTGTGAAAGTAGAGTATAAATATATATAATTAAACTAAAAATAAAAAAAATATTAAACACATATAAATATATACTTACATGGGCTTTCCTAGCTCTCTCATCAATCCATTGTTGATCCTCCTGTCGCTTATGAGTGCGACTATGCAATTCCACATGAGTTGGTTCTCTACCAAGCGTCTCTTTCTGTTAGAATTAAGAGAATTTTATTAATACAAATTAAAGAACAATTTAAAAAAATATTTAAAATTCATTACCAAACGACGCCTGTGCTCAGTATGTGGAACGGAGCCTCCTGTATGAAGTGAACTACCCAAGCCCCCAACATCAGAAGCTCTGTTATGTCGATTTTGACCCCTCATCCTAGTGTACTCTTCGCTGCCCCAAGCTGCATTCAACTCAGCCCATATATCCTCTCCAATCCACAATGGTCGCTTCCGATGCTTTCTAATATCTGTGAACATGTCACGCATCCGAGTAGACCCACGCTTCTCAAAATTCTTTCTAATATTGTCATTGTGTTGCGACAGCCAACAAAATTCTTTCTGCATTCAAATACATATGATATATAATATATAAGATTTTTAGATTAAGTAAAAAAGAATATATCATTTTACATAAAAAATAAAACCCAAACCTGAGAGCATACCATATGCAGGAAAGCCACCAATTGTCCAAAGTAATGCTGCTCTTAGTGTAAAATTCTGTTTGGTGGAGATATCATATGTACTTACTCCATCTTTCCATAATAAACTTAAATCATCAATCAAAGGTTGTAAGAATACGTCAATCTTCAATTTTGAATTATGTGGCATTTTAATTATAAGTGACAGAAACATATAAGGAGTAGTCATACATAACTCTGGAGGAAGATTGTAAGGAGTGAGTATCACAGGCCAACATGAGTACGGTGTAGCCGACTGACTGAATGGAGTAAAACAATCTGCGCATAAACCTAATATGACATTTCTTGGTTCTGCCGCGAATGTGGGATGTGTACGATCAAAGTTCCTCCAAGCCTCTACTTCTGATGGATGTGTGATAACACCTTATTATGGAATATGATTATTATGCCATCTCATATGTGCAGCAGATCTCATGGAAGCATATAGCCGTTGTAGTCTCAAAATTATTGGAAAGTATAACATCCTACTAACAGGCACATCCTTCTGCTTCCTTTTATTTCTAGATTTTGGTTTAAATCTTGAAGCATTGCAATGACGGTATGTAATTTCTGAGATATCTTCTTTAAAGTATAACATGCATCCATTCACACAACAATCTATCTTTGTGTATGTCAAACCAAGTTTGGAAACTAACTTCTTTGTCCGATATAGATCTGTAGGAATTAAATTATCTGTCGGATTGGTTTCCTTAAGCAGCCCAATGAATTGATTAAAACATTCATGAGCAACATTATATTCTGCCTTGATGCTTAACATCTTTATAGCAACAGATAATTCTGAGTGAGTCGTGCACCCTTTCCAAATTGGTTGCTGGGCAGCATGCAATAAATCATAAAAATTTTGTGCCTCCGTATTCAGTAACTCTTATGTATTTTGCTCAATTTGTATTCTAGTTGCATCATGAACTAATTCCTTAAGATTTGGTAGGATATTTTCAGCCTCAGTAATATTACTACTTGTAGAAGGATCACATTGATAATCAAATTGTGCTTATACTCACCATGACAAGTCCAATACCAATACCGTGGCATGAATCCTCTGCGATACAGATCAACAATTACATTATCTTGTTCTGGGTGCACTAGATTTTTGTGTTTAGAGCATGGACATTGAAACTTTCCTTCTGATAAAAAGTTGGGTAGTCGCTTCGCTTGCTGAATGAAAAAGTTCACCCCATTAATGAATTCATCTGTTAATGTCTTCCGATCTTGAGATAATCGGTTATACATCCAACTTCTTTGATTTCTAATATCCATAACATACATATAAGAGCAAATAAATAATGGATTATCGCAATTAAGTAGATCTAAAACTGATTATATAGAGATGTAAAAAGATAGGGTGCTTGTAGAAAATTATGATCATTTAGCATTGTCTCTAAGAGTAAAGACACTCATTCACGTACATGAGCATCCTCATCTCTGCAATACTTTTATATCAATCACACAATAGGCCTTAAACATTCCTCCACTATATATCACACAATAGGCCTGAAGCATTGTCTCAATTTAGCATCGTCTCTAAGAGTAAAGACACTCAACCACTTTAGCATCCTCATCTCTACAATACTCAACTTAATTTTTTACTTCTCTTTTAATGGCCAACATTATGTGACATAAAGCATTGTAGGTCTCACCATCATTTATAGAATTTTACCTACAAGTTTAAATGGTCCTTTTCTATCACACAACAGGTTTGATGTATTCCTCCACTTTAACCAACCAACTTGAATTCTACTAATAACATGCTTTCTTATTAATGACTTAATCGCCCAAAGCACTTATCCATAGCATATGTAAATCCTTTCTTTTCTAAAATTAACTCTCCATAGCACTTCTCTTTGAACTTTATCATATGTTTTTATCTAATTCAATAAGTATCATATGTAAATCCTTCTTATTCACTCTATATTTCACCATGGATAAAGAAAAAAAGATATGGGCTATGATCCTTGATGTAATCCAACTGAAATAGAAAATATTTGGTCAAAGCATGCACATGCATGCAATGTGTTTAAACACAACATATGTAGATCCTCCTTACTCTCTCTATAATAGACACTTATTCTCAAAAAATGTATAGCTTACATAATATACACTTATTCTCAATATGATTAAGCATTCCAAAGGCTAGTACTACCTTCCCACTACCTAAATCAACACTTGGAGATATCAAGACCATCTATCTTGGAAATGTATGGTAAGAACATCCATGGCTAAAGCAAAAAGCATACAATAGGGTACATCCTCTTGCAAATGTATGGTTAGAACATCCATGGCTAAAGCAAAAAACAAATTCATGGCTAAAGCAAAAAAGATATGTTCTTAAACATAATCTAAGTAATCCAACTGAA